TTTTCTTTATCTTATTATTAGATATTTTTAAAACATGGTTGTATAAATTTCTTATCTATTTTATTTTGATTTTGACTCATTTATGAATCTACAAAATAAATAGAAGTTCCTTCTATAAAAAAGTAGTATTAAAATTAAATCTTTTACTATCTTTCTATATTTTATCTTTATTTTTTTATTACATATTTTTGCTAGTTTCTTCAATAATAACATCTATATTTTTATTTTTTTACTATATACTTATATTACTACCTACCTTTAAACAAATAGTTTAATTTTTTGACATTTATTTTTTATTTTTTAAAGAGAGTAGATTACTTTTCTTTGTAAAAATTTTCATTTGATATTAAAGATTGTGTATTATCTTCCTTAAATTTAACTTTTTGAATTTTTTTGCATTATCTATGGAAGACAAGATTATGGATTCTACTTTCAATAGAAGTGAGAATAAATTTGCAACTATTGCAAATATTCACGAGCTTGTCAACAATCTAAGAGTAGAAATCTAACATATTTTTAATATGAATCATGGAGGTATTATTCCTTAGCCTATGAAAAAAATCAAAAATAAAGTTTAAAGTTTGTGCTAATAAGTTATACAATTAAAAGTAGCAAATAGATGAAGTTCACAATCAAATCCGAGAAGTCTTGCTTCAACAAGTATGAATGAAACAAAGATAAGTATGCCCAAGAAGTTTGATGGAACAAGATCAAAGTTTTGAGGTTTTTTTTACGACAAGTAAGAATGAGAGCCTTATAAAATGATAAAGATAAGGGCCTTAGAAAATATAAATAAAATTAATGAATCTCATATATCTAAAGGCTCCATATTCTACATAGTATATATAATTTGAGCCATTTTAAAATTTGATGAAGAAGAATTCATGCTTTTATACTAATTTAATTTTATATATATATATATATATATATATATATATATATATATATTTTCAAAATAAATCTTGTATAAAAACTTATAAAATATATTTTAAAGTTTTCAACATATGGTTGACTACTGATTTTGTATAAAAATAATCTCAAAAACATTAGACTCGCTAGGAAGTTTAAGGAAGTTTAGTACCAACCTAATCAGGTTTATTTACTTGTGAAGAAAGAGAGTGCTGGGCTATTATAGTTGTCACTTAAACTAGTTTCAAATCAAGTAAAAGCTATAATAAAACAAAACTTGTAATATAGAATTATTAAAAGATAAAAAACAATTCTAATAACTATAGTATAATCATAGTAGTAAGACATTGTAATACTAGATCTTCTTCTTTGATAAAATTAAAACTTAATATAAAAATTTTGTCTTTAAAAAATTCTATTTTTGACCACCTTAATTTTTATAAAGCATCTTGTTAAAGCAAAAATATTTGGAGGACTATAAGTTGGTTTTAGTCAAAGGTTTTATGATGTTAAAAAACAAAAGTAGTGTTCTTGTATGAGAATTTTGATCGTGGTTCTTGCAAAGTATAGTAGAAAATATTGTAGCCACTCTTTGGTGACATTCTTAGAAATAACTCAAACAATCTAATATTAAAGAGTGAAAAAAGATACTAATTTATTAAAGCAATAGTGTATTTAATCTTCAAAGAATTCTATTGTATCTTGCTTACTATGCTCTATATTTTGGCTTCTTTTTTGGATTTGTTTTTCATCTAAAGTGAGTAATTGACTTGTCAAAAAGTTATTTTATATTACATTGACTAATTCAAGTTATTTAATCACCAACAAGCTTCATTGCAATCTTCATTATTGTCAAAAATTAAAATTGATTAAGTTTGTAAAATAATAAAAGACTGTTGTAAAAATAATAAATTAATAAAATAATAAAAATATTGATCTTATATAAAAACTATTATATAATAATTATGGTCTTGCTACCAAACAGTATAATTATTCCAAAAATATAATGATTTTTGATAATTATCAATATATGAACTCCATTATCATTTGCAAGGATGAGGTTGATATAAGCATTGTTGTATTATATGAAGTGTGCTTAAAAATGCACGAGACACCTAGTTGTAGAAGGAAAAATTAAACTTGTAATAAGATAATCTTAAAAATTCTAATAGAATCCTAAAAAAACTCTAATTAAATTATAAAAATGTTAATCAATCAAACCTTAAAAAATCCTAGTCAAATCCTAAATCTTAATCAAACCTTAAAAAAATCCTAAATCCTAACCAAATTATAAAGTAAATTCTAAGAAAATTCTAATCAAATCTTAAATCCTAATCTAATTCTAAATCCTAACCTAATTCTAAATCCTAAATCAATCCTAATCAAATCTTAATAAAATCCTAAATCCTTATCAAATCCTAAATAAAATCTAATCAAATTATAAATCCTAATCTTTAACCAAATTTTAAGCAAATCCTATCCAAACTCTAAAACCTAAATCAATCCTAATCAATCCTTAAATAAATCCTAAATTCTTAATAAATCTTAAATAAATTCTTAATAAATCCTATAACAGATTGAAAATTCAATAATTAATACTTAAATCATTAATTTTGATTCAAAATTTATAAAATTTATAAAAATTAAGTTAAAAACAAGAAAAAAATATTTTAAGAAAATTACACATACCAATTGTAAGATAAAATCTCAAAACCTCTCGATTGTTGGCCACTCTCCTTCTCTGACTTCAATATTGATCTTTCTATAAAGTTTTTTTTTGTTGAACTATTCAATTGCTCCAAAATTTGGATCATGTATAGATATTCAAGTCTAAATTTTTCTTATTAATTTTTTCTTCAATTTAATTAGCAAATATTGTTAGATTGCAAAATCCTTCCTTTATCCTAAATCTCAATTATCTAAGACCACAACCTACAAAAACTCTTCTACTCTTCAATCTAACTATTCAATTGACTTCAAATTTCTTACACACATTCATAATAAACACAACAACAAATTTCCAAATTTTTATCCATTCACATACTAGAAAATTTAAAAAACCCTCAAATTTATAAATATATTTTTATTTTTCAAAATCTAAATCCACCAACTACATCACCTACTTTGAAAATCTCTCAAAACCTCAATATTAATCCAAATAACATGAACTAACTCTTAAAATTTTCTTCTCTAATCTACTCTCAATTTCCACTTTTTGATTAATAAAAGAACCTCAAAAGTAGAACAAGTGCTTGGTTTTGTGCCTTGATGTTTGATTTTAGCTCTAGTTGGCAACTAGTCCTCTTTGAGTATCAATTCTTGTTTTCTTGAGGTAAGTTTTGCTAAATCAACTTCTAAATCTTTCTTGCACATGCTTATACTCTTTATTTTTCTAATCTATCTTGTTTTGTCTTATTTATGGCCAAAAAAAATAAATAGAATCCATTTTCATAAAAAAAAATTTAAATACTGTAAGATTTTACTATTTATCCATCTTTATCTATGATTTTTTTTACTATGTCTTTTTAATTAGGCTCTTCTATAATAATATACATTCTTTCTTCTTTCATTTAAAGGGTGTATTATGACAAAATAGCATCAATCGCTTACTACCTCATTTCTCAACTAGTTGTGATTTTTTTGTTTAAAACAAATTCTTATAATTATAATTGTTTTTTAAGAGTGTGACATTTGCTGAATTTTTTTGTTTATGAGGGCTCTACAAGGACATTCAATGATACATTTTGCTTCTCTTAGCAAGCTTTCCATACCTATGTTACTTGTCCACATTTGTCTGAGTTTTGAAAAAGTGTGTGTAGTCAAATTGGATAGTATGATGTTAGGTTGACAATTTGTGATGAAAAGATGATACCTATGTAATTGTCCTTGATTTAACTTCCAGTATGTAGATCAAGTTACAGTTCCAACATTCATTAAAGCTGCAAGTTGGCTGCTTCCAGGTGGCTAGTAGAATTCAAAGCTTAAGTTGTTCTAATTTCAGAATGTACAAAATATATATATATATATATATATATATACACTTGTCTGTAGAGATTGTGAAATTGATTACTAAATTAATGCATAAAGAGCTGCTGACAATTGCAATGTGAATTCCCAACTCTGGATAAATTTTTGCATCTAAGTTTGAAACTTGTATATTCTAAAACAAGTAGAATAATATCTACTTTAGTAATTCTTTGTACCACTGTTTGGTTGGTTTTTTGGAATTTGTACTTCTAGGTTGAATCAGTTTTGCCCCAATCATGGATATCAAAAAAATATGAAATGAAATTATCACTGATACATTAAAAAGTATTTCTAATTGGTAATGAACACTTGAAATTTGTATAAAATAATTTTAAAATTTAGAATATTAATAAAATTATCAAATGTATATATATATATATATATTTATTTATTTATTTATAATTTTATATATTAATTTTTTTACATTAATGGAATGTGTCTGTAGGATTCTTTGACACATTGTTTGTATTGCAATTCATTACTGTATTATAAATTACTTCATGTCAATAAGCGAATTAATCCTTACATTTATAAAGGAAAAATAATGTTTTAACTTTTGATTTCGAAAATTACATTGAACTTGATTTGATTTCATGCTCTCATGTTTTAAGTTATCAGAGGTATAATCTTCCTGAGATTAAAAAGAGTCTTACAAACTTGCAAGGGTGCTGTAATGCTTTAAGAAATTAAATTAATAAACAAAAATATGAAAAAAATATGTTTATTTATATATTTATTTATTTTTCGTTTATTTTGAAAATATTTACGTATTCTATTTACTACCCACTATGGAAAATGAGAACTATCTATCATGAATGCTTTATTGTTAAATTTTTTCTTGAATGATTGACTAAGAAAAGAATTGATACAAAGGAATAAATGTTTATATTTAATCCTAAAAGAAAATTTTAATTCAAGAATTAGTTTGGTCATTGAAGGGATTTTGTCATTTTTGTATAAAAACATAAAATACAAATCATTTCGGCTAATTATTTTCCGAATATGGACTTCAAGTGCAGATATTTAATCAATTATCACCAATTACTACTATTTTTCAATCTGTGTAATGAATTCAATGTATTTATATATGTTTTTTTTGTAAATATGGTAATTCATTTATTCATTTCAAATCCTGATTATTATCTAATTTTACTACATTATGTACTGTTGGAAAATTTTTTAAAAATATTGATAAATTTATTTCCTTTTGTATGTTTTTGAAAAGAAAACTAAGAATAGGCTGCCTATCTTGATTTCATTAAATGAATTATAATCCCACGAGTAATTATAGCAAAAACATGTTGTTGTAGTCATTTTTAATGATATGTATGTTTAATACTCATTCTGAAACCAAAATAGAATACTTAGATTTCCAAAGAAACACATTTAAATTTAATGCAATGAATAACGTTGTCTTTTAAACTTAAATGTAATCAATTCTATTTTTAATTTTCAAAATTTTACAAATGGTGGATGTGGAGCAGGTGCATGTATGAGTGTTGAATTGATTGACATTTCTTTTTTTAGCTGCGTCATTCTACATTCATACAGAATTCAAGTAATTAAGTATTATCATTCAATTCAGGTAGATTAAACACATTTTCAACCTTAAATCTCATTCCTGTTCATTTAGAAAAATTATTAATTTGGATATATCAATCAACTTTGATATCAACTTATTATTAAGTAATTCATCAAATTAAGCATAACATTCTTTTGGAACTAGATGTTTTATTATTATTTGAGAATCATCACAGCTCGTTATTCAAATTGTTAAAAAATAGTAATAAATTATTGATAAATCAGTTTGTCAAGTAACTGAAGTTACCTATTTGCAATAGTGGATGATATTGTGGGTTGCAAATAACCTCCTAATTTTACAGATGGACATGATCTGATAACCAACAAAGATTGCAGACATTGAAGTTAGTTGGAAAAAATATAGTACTAAATCAATGTGTATTGGCATAAATTTTATGAGTCTTTTTAATAGAAATATAACTTTTATATATATATATATATATATATATACACATATACCTTTCGTTTTTATTGCAACTTTTGTCGCAAATTTTGCTTTCATATTTTGGGCTATCATGAATTTTAGGGCTACAGAGATTATTTGTGGGGCTACCATAGTTAACATTAACATCATTGCTTTTTATCTTTATATTCAACTTAACACCAGTTCTTGGCAAATTTACCTGCATAAAAATATGTTGCGAAATTATATCATTTAAATGAATCAGAACACATTAAAAAGAATCAAACGAATTTCAACGTGAACAAGAATTTAATTCATAATTTAATTTAAGACATATCTAAAAAAAAATGTTTTACTTATGAGAATTTTTAAACTGATAGCAAAAAAAATAAACTAGAGCAAGGGGAAAAAATGATGTTGAATACATTCACGTCATTTCCTTGAGAATTAGAAGAATCTAAAGTATCTGGAGATACAAAAGAGCATTTTGCTTGAGGGTTTGAAAACTTTTGACTGCACACACAAGCAAACCAATTCGGAATTTATACTTACATCTGTGCATCTATCAATATATATATATATATATATATATATATATAATCACACACAAAAATAAATGTTGCAAGTAAAATTGACATATTAAGGGATTTAAATCATGAAATTAAACCCAAATAATTTTTCTCAAAAATCAAAACCTAATGCTTTATTGTCATGGCATCTTCAAGTAACAATGTTTATTACAACCTCCACACTAAACCCAATAAAATTAGCTGCCGCTTGCACAAAATATTGTACTCTTAGACATACTTTCAATTGTAGCAGAATCATACATTGCTATTTGATTTTATTACAAAATAAATAAAACTTCAAAACACAACTTGAAATTGTGTCACTTTGTATAAATACACATATACATATCATCAAATCATGTAAGTTTTTTTGAAGAAAGTAGTAACCATGTATGAGAGTTGGGCACCGATCCATGTCCACCACCTTTAAGCAACATCATGGGATAAAGAGGAGCTTTGGATTTAAATGTTTCATCAAGACTATCGCCCATCAATGAGATTTTCAAATTGTCAGCAGGTGAGTCAATTGTATAGCTTAATTTCTTTTTAACTGTGTTAACAACAGCATTTGATTTTTTATCCGCCAATGTCTCAAAACATGGATGTGGGTCAACTTTACATTTTGGGCTTGAATGTATAATAATTGACATAGGCATTTTAGGTTTCAACTTACCATTTGAGTCTACTTGACTTTGTGAAAGCTTAGACAAACATATGGTGAAGTCTTTTTTTCCTATTTTTTTAACACATACAACATTGTCTCTTGTCAAATCATTCTTGGAGGTTTTGTCATGCTTTGGGGATAAACTACATACCCTAGAAGTTTTACCACTCTTTATGTTTTTGGTTAATACATCTGAATTTGCATGTTGACAAGTCATTATCATGACGATTAAATAAATGGAAAAAACAATTGTGGCGATTAATGGGCATTATACAAAAGGTTTATTGTTTGTGTAAATAATGGATTTAAATTGATCATGTTGAATTTATTTTAATTATAAGGCTTTTGTCATTTCACAATAGAATGCTTTTCATGTATTTGTATATATTTGTATATATTTGTATATATTTGTGTGTTTTGATCATTTGATTGCAGATTGCACATAATAGTTGCAATACAAATTGAATTTCCATCATAAATAACAATTTTTTTTTTCTTTTTTTTAACTTGAATAAAATAAAAGGGACAAAGTGTAAGCCAATAAGCAAGCTTCCAAAGGCCGTTCCTGCATAATGTAATTAAGACTTTTCTATTTCTATTGGGTAGTCTTTTGTGGTAAAAGCACAGTTGCTACTCTTCCCCTAACAAATAGAAAATAGAAATGCAAACTTAGAAAACAAATGAAGGATGAAGAGATGTATGATTTCAAACATTTGTTTTCTTCACAGTTGCCACGTCAGATTAACTAAAAACTTGTGAAGGGTGAGGTGCACAAATTAAGGGCAACAGCAGGTGGTAACAAATGTCAACTATTTTGCTCATAAAATATGTCTTCATGTCAAGGAATCCTTGATCACCCTACTAAAAATATTGAGAACGGTATTAATTAAATAAATAACTAATTGGTTTTTTCATTGGAAAAAAAACTTTCTGAACTGATTGTGATAGTAGGGAAGAGCATTAGATAAATGAGTTGATATTATTTCATATCTTGATGTTTCTCTACAATCATTTGAAATTTTGTAAATAGCATAGAGGCATGGAAAATAGAATTATTTAGAAAGAAAAAGCAAATGCAACCACAAGATGGTTTCATGTTGGTGAATATCTTAGGTTTTTTACTTGTATTGAGGTTTGCTTAACCATTGTGCAAAAAATTGTAATTTTTTTTACTACACAGTAATATGATGGATTTAATGTGAGATGTAGTAATTAGAATCATTAATGTTAGTAATTGTTAAAGATGTTGGGTACAATGGAAGTTGTACCTACTACAAGATTGACTTAAAGAGGATTTTTGATTTTGATTTTTGCATCAATATTATCATATTTTTAAGATTTGGAATGACTTGTGGTGAAACTTTGATTTTTTTATGTTAAAGCACTACTATTGAGGACCAAAGAATTTTCTTATACTTACAAATATATATAGGAAATTGATAGGTTGACCTGGGTTTTTACTAAAACATAGATTGTAACTTCCTCGGAGTTCAAATATAATCATCTTTTTTCTTTACTTGCATGAAGCAAAAGCATAGCAAAAAAGTGTGATTTGTACCTACACTAGTAGCAACATGTAGTAATGGCATTTAAAAGCAATTCTTCTTATATATTGAGCAATTCTTATTATATAATAAGATGACATTGAGTGCATAGCCATGTCAACTTGCAAATTCAACTGCCTTGGAATATACAAAGAAAAAGTGAAAAAGCAACCTATTGCTATCCAATTTCTTTGTATAAAAGACGATATTGCTTTCTAACTCATCCAAGGATGCTTCCAAAGGAGTATGGCTGTGAAGTTTCTTTCATCTCAAGATATCTCAAAGGTTGTATATGTTCCTTTAGATACATCTGCAATTGGAGTTCAACTGCATCAATCTAGCATGGATGACCTAAAGAGATGCACCAACAATAAACAAGTTTCAAACCATTTAACTTTGTTGATTGACAAGGTTCTTTCAGATAGATAGGCTATTGCATTAGCAGCTAGGTTGTGGTTGTGGTGAGCGTTAACCACATAGGACATCTATATTGCATCTTCTTCTTGTGAAATACGTTGCAATTTAATCTAAAACGGACATTGACATCATCTAGATGTAGTAACTCAGCTCGTAGCACTAATAGTGTATTCACCTTGATGGATGCAGCAAGAAAAGACTATGCAAGTAAGTCTTGTGTTGAAGAACGTGTAGCTCTATAGTCATCAAAGTACAAATCCACGATGATGGGCAAAATATTTTAAGTTGGTCTCTCTTTCTTTTGTTGCATAGGATCATTCAAGAGGTGATTGAGGTCCTGTTATAGTTGTTAAGAGTGTGTTACTTGGTAGCTAGTACTTTTAGATATATCATCTGCCAAATTCACTAGAAGCTACATATTCCACATATGCGAGATAACAAAACAAGCCATAAAAGCAAGGCTTCGATCACGGGCAACTATGTCTTAATTGTTTGATGTGGATTCTAGTTTTGAAATTATGGCCACATAGTCGTAGTTGTTGCTACATAGTGAAGGAACATAAAATTCTTCAAATACTTTGTTACATTTGTTACACAAATTTATGGATTAAAAAAAATAATTCACGGGGGCATTTGTTCATTGTAAACTAAAAAGTTGATGAACTGATGAATTAATTCATAGTTCACATGTAAAGGATTATGAAATGAATTGTGAACAAAAATAATATACTTAATTATTCAATTTTGGTTTTAAAAACCATATGCACTAATGTAACTTTGTTCACATGTAATGGAGTATGAAATGAATTGTGAACAAAAATAATGCACTTAATTATTCAACTTTGGTTTTAATAACCATATGCACTATATTTTGGCTCTACAGTATATCAATGAAGTAGGTCAGGTGACCAAATTTGATTGCACAGTTTATAAATGAACATACATGTTTATCAAGGACCCCTACATTTGAACCAGGTTTAGTAATTAAACCCGGTCATTTTAGTAAAAAACCAGGTCAACCTATCAATAAATATATATATATATATATATATATAATCATTATTATTTTCTTATTTCAATGGGTATTAATCAACCTTTGGATCTTATACATCAAACTACTATTATTAACAGTAACAGAAAGCTTGTTTGTGAAATATTCCCATGAACTTTATTTCTTCTTCTTTTTTCTTTTGTTCTCCAAATCCATCTTTTTATTCTTAAATTCCCTTTTCATATCTTCGTAGAATCTCTTTCTATTTTTTCTTTTTGATCTGTCTCCTTTGTTTAATACAGTTAGTGCATTAAATCTAATATTTGTTTGTATACTACAAAGAAAAAAGTGTATGTTCATAGCAATTTTTTTTTATAGCCCATCATAATTGAATTTAAAGTGAAAACGTAATATTCTTGTTGTTGAAATAAAATTTCCTTTAAAAGCCAATTAAAGGAAAGGATTATTTTATAAGTTTCCTTTATTTGCTGTAAACAAGCGAGGAGTACTTTATTTTTATTTTTGAAATTTTCAAGCACCAATTTGTTAAAATTTAATTTTAGAATTTCGAGTCATTATGTTATAAGTGAAAAATAAAAAAATTATCACAAGATTTTAGCTCAATATTTGATGCAATAATAAGCACATTAACATATTCTGCATTTTTATTTTAGTAACTCGTATTCATTAATCAAGGCACTGTGGGATGTGTTGTTGTCACTAACCTTTGTTCCAATCTGTATTTTTTTAAATGATAATAACAAAAATTAATGATCCATTGTTAGATCTGAGAGGGCGGTGTTACATATTAATAACTGCTTTAAATTTAACTTCAATCTGTTATTTTGAAGCTAGAAGGATGTTTGAAGTAGAAAAACTAGAAACACTTAAGAATAAACAAGAACAAGGGGTGTCTTATTTATAAGGTTGTCTTACTTGTTCACAAGTGTTGTATATCTAAACTTAAAAAAGTTACATTATTAGATAACGAAGTTATACATTCAAGAGAAATGCCCCACATACAAGCATAGATCAAAGGTCCAACAAAACTTTAAATTGGCTCTGAACTGCAAGTTTCTATTCTAGTCCAAGTAAGCATCAGACTTGTCTTTTTTTTTCCCATTCCTCCAACTTTTGCAATGAAATCATTTTCCCTTCCAGTTTGTTGCTTTGGGTCAATACTTACTCATTTAGGGTTTGCACACTAGTTTCCAAGTTATCAACACCAAAAAATCATGAGTAAAATCAAGATCAACCCTAGACTGATCATGTCTTCCCAAAACATACAACACTTCCATCTATGTGTACAGATGTGTCCATATATATATATATATATATATATATTTATTTATTTATTTAAAGAAGAATATATTACAAAGTAGAAAACCCAGAAAACGAGAGTGCTTAGTATTACTGAGCGGCGACGCGACTGGAGCGCCTTCGATGGCCGCGTCACGATGTCGCGAGCTCGGTTTCTCCGTCGTCGTTGTGGGATCCGCAACAGCACGCAGTTTCCGATGCAGGTGATGTTGCTGTAGCAGGGATGGATGGGTGGGTCCCATTCATACTATTCAGCTTGAGGCACCGCTGCAGCAGGCTCATCACTCGCATGTGCTACACTTAACCTGGAGTGGCAGCAACTCAGCGATCAGTTACACGCTGCACAGACTGCTTCGGATTCCACACAAACCCAAGCGCGGGGATGGCGTTCTCCAACACTAGAATCAACTTAAACGGAATCCATAGACTTGGAGCTGGATCAACGTATCTATCGCATTTGAACCCACGAGTGCTCAAGTCTACAGCAAGGAAACCGCATCTACTGCCACGTTCCCTCGAACACTCAGGCTGGGTTGTGAGATTGACCGATTCAAAGTGGGTTCACGTAGTTTCGCGATATTTCCAGCAGTTGGGTGTGGTTATCCCCATCGGACAACCAACCTCGCCATTCAAGGCAGTCACAGTTGGGTGTTCCTTCTCCACACTAACAACGTTGGTGCAAACACGTGGATAAAGTTAGACAGATGGCATCATCTTGGGAAGCCACTTCATGTTTGACACTTGGCTATCGTGCAGCAACTGCAACTTAGCGGTTCCTTCCCCTTTCGTGGGGATGGTGTCTCTTTTAATACCGCTGCCGATGAGTAACTCTTCATATTTGCAAGCATACTCAGTAACTTTTTTGTGTGTTGCAGTAGGAAAGACTTTGTTAGCAGAACATATCTAGAGTGAGAAAACCTTGTTAGATTGGTTGTCCTTGTATGTGAGTCTGTGAAGAGGGTTTGTTGCGGTTGTTGTGGAATTCAGAGAAATCATGGCGGATGAGGCTAAGATGAGGGGTGATGCGGCGTCGGACAAGACGAAGCAGGGAACTGATGCAGCCTTGGAATCCATCGGGCAGTACCGAGGTGCCGCACAGGAGCAAGGGATGGCAGCCTTGAGGGGCGCCCAGGATCGTTATGAGGCGGCGAAGAACACTGCTTCTCAGAAGGCAGACGAGACCGCCAATGTTGCTGGTCAGAAGAAGAACACGGTTGCGGTAGGTACCTCAATTTGGGTTTTCATCTTTCCGCAATTTGAAGTCTTCTTTTATGGCTTCTCACGCGGCTTTTCAAGTTTGTATTGCATGTCGAAGTCGTCACGAGAACTGAAGAAGAAGAAGAAAAAAAGGAAAAAAGAAAAAGTTAATAGAAAAAATGGAGAACAAATCGATGTGTTGGATGAAGTTGTAGAATAGTGCCAGAGCTTTACAGGATGTGGAATTGATTAATATTCTAGGTCGTAGACACTGAATTTTGTCAACACAAGTCGTGTCTGAACATGGTTGTGCGCATCACACAGGAAACCCTTTCTCAGTACACCCAGGCAGCCTTGGACAAACTGCAACAGATGAAGATCGGCACGCAGCAATATTCCGAGCAAGCCTTGAACAAAGCTGCGGAGCAAACCGAAAACACGAAGGCTGCAGCAGCTGGTACGTATAACAAGGCGGCAGACACCACCTCTCAGACTGCCCAAAGTGCAAAGGGCACATCGATGGACACTGCTGCGAGCGCTAAGGATACTGCTGTACAAAAGAAGGATCAAGCCTATGACGCTACTGCTTCGGCTGCCCAAAGCGCAAAGGACACAGCAGTACAAAAGAAGGATCAAGCATACGACGCCGCTGCTTCGACTGCCCAGAACACGAAGGATATGTTAGCTGAGAAAACAAATCAAGCTTCAGATTATGCCGGACAAACGTAATTTCTTCTTGGCTTTAGTTATCTTAATGTATATTGAAATGCATTTTATTCAGCTTCACTTGACTAAAACTTCCAATTTACCTTGGCATCTGACTATTCATGTTGTTGTGTTCGGTTGGTGTAGTTACCAAGCTGCAAAAGACACGGTCATGGACTACACTAATGCCGCAGCTGAACAAACTGGGCAAGCATGGGAAGGAACAAAACAGACTTCCGCGGATTATGCAGGAACGGCGCAGGACAAAGCGATGGGCACATGGGATGCGACTAAGCAGAAGAAAGCGGAAGCTACCGGTATGGCGCAGGATAAAGCAGGGGAAGCCAAGCAGAGTGCTGCGGATACCGCCACAGCTGCACAGGAGAAGGCGTCCGAGGCAACTGGTGCTGCGCAGGAGAAGGCAGGGCAAGCGAAGTATTCGACTGCGTCGCCCTTGACTTCCGCCAAGGACAAATCATATGATCAAGCAGCCGCTACGAATGAGAAAGCAAAGGAGGCGGCCGGTAGTGCCCAGGCGACAGCAGGATCGTGGTTTGGAACAATCAAGCAGAAAGCGTCCGAGCTTTTGGGTGCCACGCAGCAGAAAACTGGCGAGGCAAACCAGGCCGCGCAGGATCAAGCTGCAGCGGCTAAAGATAAGGCCGCGTCCACTTTGGACGCAACAAAGGAGAAGGCTGCCGAGACTACGGAAGCCACGAAACAGAAGGGTGGAGAATTAAAGGATTCAGCGCAATACAAGGCTGCTGAGACTAAAGATGCCGCACAGTCGAAAGCCGCAGAAAGTAGGGATGCATCCAAGGACACTGCCGCCGACTGCGCTGGATCTGCACAGAAGAGCGCCGAGGAAATCCGCGAGGGGACCAAGCAGACTGGTGGCGGTTTACAAGAATTAGCTGGAAATGTCTGGCAAGGTATCAAAGACAAAACCAGTGATGTTTCCGGAGAAACTCAGCACAAGGCTAGCGAGGCAGCTGTCAGTGCCAAATCCTCATGGGATGCAACGAAGGAGCAAGCAGGCAAGGCATCGGAGGATGCGCAAGAGAAGTCTACGTTTGCTGGTGACAGCGGCGTGACCTGGGACAATGCACGGAACAGGTATGTCAATGCCTCAGGAAAGGAAGTCGACATCGCATCTGCGACTGCTGGCGACACTCCAGCTTTTGAGCAATCGCTGTAGACTAATGTGTAGTTTCATTACTTCACGCTTGGAAAGAATAAGTACCCCTCCAGCTCTAGGTTTAGATGCTGATCGCGGATGTCTTCGAATTATGATGCGCAGATTGTGATGCTGAGGGATGAGAGATGGTTATCCCACTGTGCAGTCAGGCATCAGAATAACTTCTGCGAACGTAAATTTTTGAGCTCATGTGAAAAGATAGCGGTGCTTTTGATGCTTCAACCATGCTAGTTAGGCGCTAGTTTTCGATTAGAACAAGTTTTGCATATGTAGCTTGCCATTCGAGTCTCAACTTCCGTAGATCCAGGTGGAGCTTATCTGAGAGGATCAGAGTACAAATCATTGATGTGCAGCGATTTAATTGCAAACGTACTTCAAGTGTTGTAAATACAGTTTATCCTTTTGTAATTGAGTTTTGTTCTATGTAATTCGTGCTCGCACTGCGATCATATTCATTTTCTGTGCACAAATTGCTTATTCTTCTCCGTGGCATCGTCTCAATCAGCGTCACAGAGATATGCTTGAGCGGCAAGGAACACTCAATCTTGTGAATAATTTCTTCAATTTTCCGTGGAAGTAATGTTTCAAAAGAAATTTGCAATATTTGTAACCGAATAGTTGCAAGTTTCCTTGACCATCAAAAACTTCATGGTTTCAAATATCTTAGTATGTCACCTTCCTCTGCTGTCTGAGATGTACAATCTAAATGGAACTCACTTTGCAATACTTCAATGCATCTTCCATCTTGTGCATCATTCAACTGTGCTGGATTTCTGAAAAAGTGAAAACATCATGGTGTGCAATGATGAAACCGTAATGTTTTTGAGACTCACTAATTCTAATCCAAGAGATGTCCTGTTGAAAATGACCATATCCTTCTGAATTGTGATCCAAGTTCGCAACATGCTTTTATTGGAATCATATGTAGCATGTTAGCCAATGCTCCACAGAGCAAGACAACCTGAAGGGTCGAAAGATCCACCAGCAAACTTGAGTTGCTGTTTATTCGTGGTTGATAGTCCATTCAACAATCGTCCATTCAGCTCTCTGTTGATGTCTACATAAGTTATGAAAGCTCTTTATTACTCAACTAAAAATGAATTATGTCATAAAGACCTTCCATTGTTAATAGTGATTGCTTACCTCCACTGCTGTGCCCTTGTTTCACCATCGAACAGCAGCAGAGTGTAGGCAGGTCTTTCTGTACACTCAGTTTAAACTATTGGATGCCTGGAATTTCTCAGTCTACACAAGTCAAAAACTTCCAAAAATTGCCATCACCAAGATGATGGTAGCAGGATATGCTAACACGCATGCATCATCTCGAGTACAGGAACGAAGCTTATGAGCAGCAGCATTTCCAAAGTAATGGCAAAGTGCTGGAAATGCCTCCACATTATCAAGAGCATCAAAATCTTTTGGTTCTTGAAAGTTGTGCGAATTGCTTCACCAGATCACGGTTTCAACATCACTGGAAGCACAGAAAGAAGCACTTCATTCACTTCTTTCTGTGTGGTCTACCTGTAGCAGTTGTAACACATGCACAAACCCATGAAGTTGTAAAATGTATTCAGCATGGTGTGAACTCTGTTCCATGGGCACACAAGGTAAACCCATTTTCCAAAACTTAAGCATTTCAACATATATATATATATATATATATATATATAGTAGGTGTAAAAATATTGAAAAAATACCCCATGTACTGAAAGTGTTTTTTTTAGACAATTTGGCCCTAGAACAAAATTCAAATAAATGTTTTAGCTGAAGATTCTCTTCAACCCATTTTGGACATATAGGTCTATTTAATTTTAACTAATAAATAGTGGGTTACAAAACTAAAAATCTAACTTTTATAAAATTGTAATGTGTGGCATCTAATTATATTATCATTCTACCTCTGAACATATCAGTTCACACATATCTATTTCAAAATAAGTTCACACATATCCATTTCAAGTATAATAAATTTTATTCATTGCTCAGAGCTCAATATCATTTCAATCAACCCCCGGCCTACTTCTAATCAATGGATGTTAAACCTAATTGCCTTATATAATGGAAATAGCACACACTACATGTTGGAAATGGCAAGGGATGGAAGAAGAGGGGGAAGGGAAGGGGTGTGGTAAAAAATGGATCAGCTATCTTATATACAAGGAAACAATTGCAACAATCAGTTGAGTAACCGACACTCTATAAAATAACATTGCCAATAAATATATTGCAACATGTTGAAACCAAAATCTTGACTATCTTATTCACATTGTGCCCATGTTCTTTTTCTTTTCTTCAGTTTATTTTTAACAAGGACAAATAAAATGCATCTATTGTTGGAAGAACAAAAGAAACAAGGTTGTTTATGTCATAATATTTCATGGCAAGTCACATTTAGAAATAAAGAGTATCTTATACCTTATCTTTCTACAACCTAGTTGGAGGATAGATAATGAAATTACAATGAAGAATTTTAGTGTTTTTACTAGGTTGTCATCTAAACTCTAGTATCTAACATATGTTTAACTAACTAGGACTTATTCTTCTTTCATTAAAATACATCTATATAATTATGTTGTTTATAAATTTATATAAAAATATTTTTTAAATAAAGTAATTGTAGTTTAGAATATTAAATAAAATATTTATTATTATTATTATTATTAACTTTATAAAATTTCCGAATTTTATATTTAATAATTAAGACATTCTTTTACATCCAAATGACCTACATGCATTAAATGATTGTTTGAACTACAAAAAAAATTCATTTAAAAAAATCAATTAAAATTTTTAAATTTTTAAATAATATTTGTATTATATCTTATACATGATTTATTATTATTAAATATATATATATTTAAACAATTTTAAATTTATTTTAGATGATCTAAAAATAATTTGAATATAAATTCTTATATCTATGTGTTATGTTGCTACACAATTGGAATTATTATTATTCAACAATAAAAACATTATCTTATTAGTATAATAAGAAGTATGTTATATATAAAGGCTATACAATTGATGTGTAATTTTCAAAATTTAATATAAAAATACTAAATATATATCATTTTTAAAAAAAATACTCATAAAATTAAAATTATTTTTTACATAATATAAATTTATTTAAAATATAATTATAATTATTTATTTAAGAAAAGAAGAAGAAGATATATTCTATATAATATTGATTTATAAAAAGTCCCAAATCATTAATTTAATCTTTAAGTAAATTTAAATTTTAGATACAATACAAAAAATATATATATATATATATATATATATATATAACTTCATCAAAAATAAAATTATAAATTATAAAAGTTTAGTAATATTACCAAAATAAATAGTTAAGTAATTATTTTAATCATCTAGTATTAATTGATGCTTCATAATATCATTGTTAAAAGATTTAAGTAAGCCAAAATCTTCAATATATCTTGATGTTAGCAGGTTTTTAATTTTTATATCATTTTTATATATTCAAATAATTTAAAAATTTTAACAAGTCTTCATTAACTTATGTGTTTAAACTTAAAATTTTTGTCAAAAATATTTAACGACTTTAAATCTTTAATATATCTTAATATAAATTTTTTTCAATTTTAAAAAAATTGATAAACTTATAAAATAATAGATATCTTTGATATATTTTTATATGAATTTATACTTGAAATTAAGATCAAAGCCAAAAGAGTGAGGAAATATAATCTTTTCAAATAGATAGAAATTTAAACTTAATATCACCTTTAAAGGAGTCAGGAGTTTTTTTAAATTTTATTTTTATTTATTATATTCATATTATTGTAGATAGTATTTTTACTAAAGAGATTTGATCATCTTTTATATTTTATTAATTCAAATAAAAATATGTGATTAAATTTTAATTACTTAATAAAAAAATATAAATATAAAAAACATAATCTTAATTATATTTGAAATAAATGAACATTCAATAAGTTTTAAGATAATATTAATTATTCTAATTTTTAAATTAATAGTATTTTTATAATATGAAGCATATTTTAATTTTTTTATTTTAATCCTAAAGCTTGAATACCTTCTATTTATTATTTTTAATTTTAGTATAAAAATATAAATTTTAGTTTTAAAATAAATTTTATTGAATTTATTAATAATATATAAATATATATAGCTAGCCTTTATTGTAGTCAAACTTATCAAAATCAACTTTGAATTATAATTAGCTCATTTTTCCAACTCAATCTGCACCATCAAAAAGTAATCTATATTATATACTAAATATTATATAGTCAATTATATTATAAAATTAATTATTTATTTGATCTAGAGAGATTGATTATGATACAGATTGAGTGTATATACATGTACACTAATGAAAATCTATGCCATTGGCTACAAAAAAGGTGTAAAAGTTTAATTTTCCATTGCTAAGTCAAAAATTAATCATTCTTAAAGAAATATTGACGACAAAAATAAATAAATAAATAAATAAATAAAAGAGTATATGCATAAAAATGAAACCATTTATATTCCTTTAATGTAATTAGTAAGAGAATTTTTTTATTTATTACCTTTGGACCTATGTGCATAATTTAAATAATTGTTATTCATCCTAAATAATAAAAAAAAAAAAAAAAAAAAAAAAAAAAACCAAGCATTTTTATTAATATGAATCCATTCTCACATAATCTTTGCATAATGAAACAAAACTACTTGGAAATCTCTAATCACTAACTTTATTATAGTACTTATTTACGTTGTTCAAACAATTATTTATCACGTCTTTATTCAAAGCACATATTAATTTTAAAAAAAATATCATTTATAAGTGCCTTTGGAAGCATGAGCTTATGATATAAAAATGATATCAACAGAGGAGGCCTAATTGTGATAAAAGTTTACTTGTGCAGATATGAAATTGAATTTTTGATTAGTATTGTTCATAAACAAGGAATTGAATCATAGGTAGTTGTAGACAAATGTGGATACTTGTATAGTGAAGATCATTATTGCATTTAATATACAAGTCTTCACTTAAGCAAAAAAAAATGAAAAAATACATATTCTTACTCTAAAGATTGTATTGATTTTTGTGATCTATTTTAGTACACTATAATAGAAAAAAATACCAACATCTAGCATACAAAAAACTTCATTGAATTGAAAATCCATTGTTGAGGTTGAAAGAATGGTAAGAGACTTTTAAAAGAAAAAGATATGCTTGCAATTACAACCAAAACACCATGTGTCAGTTCTTCAAGCACTTGTTTTTCATTATCTCTACAAATAATATAGCAACAATGATCTCAATCCATTCAAGTACAACAGCTTGAGGATGTTTCATCACATTATGACTAAACCTTCAATAATAGATTTGGTTGCATTACACCTAAATCAAATATAATTTCAGAGCTTGAATATTGTAAGGATCCACAATATAATGGATTAACAACCAACTATATACACTA